ACTCATATATCAGACATGGTTCTCATAATTCGTCTGCATTCAGACCCCACAGGAGCTTCGGCTAATTTGTCTGCCCGTGAAACACATGTACAAGCCTCTGGACCTCGAGAGGCTTCAAATTATTCTCGGCCAAACTCGTCATCCGCACAAGATCAAAATGAGGTTCCAAGGCGTACCGATATGCCTGCACGTGTTTCTGGACAAGGCATGTTGGTTCAGAAGATTCATCAAACTTTTATCAGTACGTCTCTTTCTGGTACTCGATGTATTAGATATCCTAATTTGCTTGCTTTCATGTCCCACAGGAACTGCATTTAGTATGCCCTGTAATGACAGACCCGGGCACGGCTTTGGAGTTCCTACGAGGAGTAATCTTGAGCCTCGTTCATTGCCTGAGGTGCACCCCGTAGAAAGAGTCACCATTTCACATAATATTAACGAAGCCACAACAGATGACATGTCACCTTCAAGGGAGAGTAGGCAAGGTATATTACTGTAACATGGATGTGTAATAGTTGTAATTTTTCACAGATTTTACAAACTCTATTTTTTAAGGTCCTTATGGTTAATCCATGCAGTGACGCCTCCCAGCAACCCTGCCAGTTACACTTCTGGGGAAGATGTAAATGCTTCAGTCAGTAGACATAACGACGAGCCCAAAGAATTGTCTTGCCTACCTATGGATGTTGAGGAAATACGTATTCTGGATGAGTTGGAACATCATTTTATGCTTTCAAGAAACAAAGATATTCCTTTTACATACTTGGCTACTCTATCAGCAGAGTGCGCGGCATTGGAAGATGAAGCTTCTGTTGTTCGAGGGAAAATAAAGGTATGTCAGATGACTTCACTACTGATGTAGTATTGTTGTTCTTGCTGCATTTCGCCTAATGCTAAAGTATCATCTAGCTCACCTGACGTGGCTTTCTAGTGTTGGATTATGTAGCATCTAGTGTTTATTTAGATCCACTTAGTTAGTTTGACATGTCATTGACCTTTCTTTTTAGCAGTCGCTCGATTGACCGGCATCTGATGTAAGAGCAACCAACAGTCAGGGGCATCATAATGTATTCTATATCATGTCGTTAATGTGTATCGCTGCATAACTTATTAATTTACTCTTGATACTTCTATCTTTATTTGATAATCTTCTCTTGGTTTTCTGATATCATTTTAAATTTAGTAGAATTTATTTTCTTTCGCATGATGTACACCGGAATCTGGTAGGGTGGTTGCTTTGGTTAAATTAGGTGTTTTGTATTGTAAACTGAACTGTGCTACCTACTGCAAATATGTTTATAGTTGCTTTAAAGTGTTTCTAGATGATTCCATCTGATTTTTCGGACTTTTTAATCACCTGATGTCTTGTATTTACTGCCAGTGACATAAATATTATTTCCCATCTTGCAGTGCTTCTTGACAGCTGTTAAAGGATTTCGATACAGACAGGCTACGTATGAGCTACGAATTCACATTGATGACGGAAGTCTAATCAATGAGATTCTTGTTGACCATTGTGTGAGTAACCCACTGATAAATAACTTGATCTTATTAGATTCTCATTACTGTACAATGAGTTTTTCTGTTTCAGACTATACAAAAAAAGATAGGGTATTCTCCTCAGGATGTTATCAGTGCTATCGATTCTTCAGACATTGAGCAGGAGATTGCCATGAAGGAGAAGTTATTAAAGTTCCAGCAATTTTTGGCTAATTTCGAGGTAAGATCCTGCATGTATCTTTGTTTGCTTTTAAAACCAACCACCTGTTTGTCTGTCTAGTCTCTCTCTAGTTTTCTGAGGTTCTGATAACATGTTACATCCATTCCTTTGGTCATATCACATTATTATGAACGTTGTTGATAGAAGGCATGAGGTGCCCTTTGGACCCCTCCCTACCTTAGGGCATGATTGGTGCCCAAGATTAAAAAAAAAAAAACTGGTTTTGATTGGACCACCGGGAATGGATTCCTTGGCATTTACATTCCCTTTTTTCATATTGTCGAATCATATTCTATCACCAAACCACAGCATACTATTTTAGGTTTGTAGCATATTGTATCACGTATTTTGTGTTGGCCGAGATAGGCAGTGGGTTGCAAATGAATTGGATGACTTTATGCATTGGTCCATTGATATCTAAATTTGAATTCAAATTTATTCGTTTAGAGTTTTATTCTTGTTTGCGAGCTTCTTATTAATTTTTCTCATGTGATCCTCTATATAAGAAACACAAACAGAAACACATTAGTTTTGAGGCCGTAATCAGATCCTTCACTCGTCGAACTAATTAACCTGAATAGTGATTTTACCCAAGTCAAAATGACATCATGTCCTCACATTTGAGCTTTCGAATATAGCTGGAATTTCAGATTTTCTGCAGTCATTTAGGAACAATAAGTGTTCTTTTTTCCTGAAATTCTATCTATTTCATGGCAAAGAAATTTCTCTATTGCACATGTTTATGTGTAATAAAGTTAAAAAGTGTGAGGTGAGGTTTTGAGCTTGATTTGTCATATTCTGCTTGTTTATCTTCAACTTGAAAATCAAGTAAGTTTTTTTCACGACGATTAGCATGAATGTATATGCTCAGCCTTTGACTAAAATTGTCTGAACCAGTATTATGGTGTTGGATTTGGTGTTTGTCAGGGGACAATGCTTGTGGAGATGAGTAAAAAATGGCCTCTACCAGTGGCTGTTGAGATGAACCAAGGTTGCTCTGCATCGGATGCTTGCTTGCTTCTTAAAAGGCTGAAATCCACCAGTCCTCGGTCACAGAGCACATCCCGTTCGAACCCTATAATTAACCTTTCTCCGTAAGTCTGTAAATTGAATTGCAAGTGTTTCTTCATGTATTTTTTGAAGAATGCGTAGCAAATGACACCAATGGGGAATTTATCAAATGATTAGCAACTACTCTTTGGTATAAATCCAAAATTCAAATGATTAGCAACTATTCCTTGGTATAAATCCTCTTTACTTATTCTTTGTTCCTGTTGGGGTAATATTGATGTCATCAGAAAAATAGCTCACCAGTTTTAAAATACTGCAAAAGTAAGGTCCTGAGCAAGATTATGTAGTTATACTCTAGTTTACAGCTAGAAAGATGAATCCAGTTGCATGTTGAAACTGAAATCTGTGATTATCTGCAAATACATGAAAAGGCATTCATATTCATACATTTTAAAACTAGGTCCGTAATTTACAGGATGTTGGCGTCATGTACCGTCATAGTATAGTATTTAAAATGTTTTCCGAAAAGTAACATCCGATTTTGTGCTGCCTAGTCGTGATATGTTATATAATTTAATAATTTATTAACTAGGCTTCAAGAGTACATTAAAACTGGAATCTGAGCATCTTCTCCTTCTCTATCAGTATTCAGTAACTCTTAATCTTTGGGGACTGGACGGAGTCTGGCCAAATGGCATCTTTAAGCCCAGGAATTTGTATGAGTTTGTAGCTAATGGCTTCAGTTTCTGGAACTCCTGGCCCGGTCATGCAAAACCAGTGGTTAAACCAGTCAATTAGCTCGGGACACAACAACTTCACATAATATGTTGTCCTGAACCAAGGTGGAATGGTTAAGTACTTGTCTTCACGGCATGCACTGTTGACTGTTGCCTTTGCAAATCGTCCTACCAACTCAATTGGAACGGCACTCATCACGACCTGACAAGTTACATTAAGTGTGAGCTATCTCCACTTACAGATTAAATTTCATTTTTTCATATCTTACATCTCTCATAACTTGGTCCACCACAATTCTCCCTTCATTGTTAAGGAATTTGCCCTTTGTCATCTCGGACTCAATCAATCCGGGTGTGACTATCGTGATCCCGATATCAGATGCAAACTCAACCCTTAGAGTCTCGAAGAAGCTTACTACTGCAGCCTTACTTGCCTGAAAAAAAAAAGTAAGATGTTGGTTTTAGACTACTAGCAAGGTAACACAAGTATAAAGTGGCAACAGTGTAGAGACATGATACTTGACATTATAAAAGCTAAGCCTTGGTGCGTTCAACCAGCTAGCTGACGATGCTATCACGACAATCTTGCCTTTTGTGGCCCTCAAGTAGGGAGCAGCATAATAAGTCATATACACCGGACCCCAGAAATTTATATCCTACGACCAGAAAGCAACAAAAACCCAAAATATAATTCAAGTTAGATCGATGTAAAATGTGGGATAATTACTCCATTTAATTACCATTGCCGGTGAGAAGTTTTTCACTCTAATTGTATCCTCAAGCAAGCTTACGGGGGTGACACCTGCGCAAATAACCAGGTGGTCCACTGCACACGTAACACGTACAACACTAGAATAAGTTGATGCAAAAATAGCTTCTTTTGAGCTAAATGCTAGTGATGTAACTAAATTTGGGATTGTACGTCGGCCAAATTGGTGGATGGCTTCTTGTATCAATCTCCTGCATTGTTCGGCTTTGGAGATGTCGGTTTGTATTGGGATTGCGTGAGGAGAGCCGAGCAGATATGCCCTCTCTGCAACCTCTCGTAGAGCGTTCTCCCTTCTTGCTCCAATAACCAGAAACGCGCCCCTTTTTCCATACTCGTAAGCAAGGTGCTAAAAAAGAAAAGAAAAAGAAATAAAAGCCAAAATTACAATTTCGAATGCCAAAAAAAAAAAAAAAAAA